TTTGATGAGAATTAAGCATTTGATAATGTTGCAAAATTATTTTCTTAGGTTCCTGGGGTGTGGGTGACATGAGTAACATTCATATAATTCAGTGGAAAAAAAAACAAAAACCGTCCATTTCTGCCCAAACAAGTGTTATTTTTATCTTGTCACCAAACTTTCTCAACTTCTATCCTTGAACAACTGCAGAATGTAAAATTATTAGCTACCAGTTTGATCTAACCTTGTACGTATATAATACATGGTTGTGGTGGTAGAGGTGGCCATCAGTTTTATATTTGAATGAATATATGAATAAATAATGAAATTCTTTACCTACTATTCAATTCAAATTGATAAATTAGCTTTTGTTTTCCTAAATGCAAAACAGATCCTTCCCTCCTGAATCCTTTACCGAATGAATACCTTAATGAACAAAGTACCATGATTTACTGTGGATTTTTCTTTGTTTCATTTATATCTTCTATAGACAACTGGAGTGCAAACTAATTGAACGTCTTTTACCACCTATTTCCTTGAGACAAAGGTATATAAACGTCTTAATGAGATTTAGTCATTCTAATATGTATACCGAATGTAGAAGAATTAACAAAATTAGCTAGTTGTGGATTGGAAAGGAAAGCTTTTTAGGAAGGAGATGGCCAAAATGAGTATTATTTTGGGCAGTTAGAGAAGTCATGAGCAAAGAAAACATGAAGATGTCTACTACAGTTTGGATAATCATTACTTGACTATTTTTCTTATTTCTCTTTTCTTTAAAGACTTCATCTACTATCCTCTATGCATATAATGAAGTGTGAAAATGTATATACTATAACTGTGCCCCACATCCAAATTTAATTATGAACATATCGTTGTTTTTCTATAACTAATCTCATTATATTCCATAGCATTTATTCCCGTTGCCTGGAGATACAGGTTGGGCAGAGTGAAGTTTAACGTCAATTAAAATACAAAAATGTGTTCTGAATTAGAAGTCTCTTGTGCGAATACAGGTTTCTCCTGCTATCTGAAAGTAGAACGTCCATAGGAAAACTTTTGTAAGCTAAAGTGGCATAAAGCAAAGAAGCAATTACCATTAGTTTATATGGAAAACTTTTCAAGAGTTCCAAGATCCTAAAGATAACCTATTAAATCATAGCAAATAATATACAAAAGCCAAAATATCATTAACAAAATGTGTTAACAAATCAGGAATAATATGATAAATAAACACTACACTTTGTAAGTCCATCAATCCATTCAAGCAATAGACTTTCAACTTTATACATTACTGGATGCTGACTAAAAGAGACCACTTTGCTACTAGCAGAAACAACAGTAACTTCAGGAGCTTTCAAGATTCTTTCTCTCTGC